AGAGAGGAATATTCTTCAAAGCGTTTCTCAGTCATGTCACTTGGTCATCATGAGTCATGCTGTTGACTGCATGTATTTAAAGTCTGTACAGTTCTGTCCACAGCTGCCAACACGTTGTTTTGTTCAGACCAAGTCTTAAGACACTGAGATCTCCTCACTTCCTCACCTGTCACGTAAGTGTCTTCAGGATAATGAGCTCTACAGGCCTCCCTCCACTTCCCACATTACGGCCCGCCTCCCTCCTCACCCCTCCAGTCACCCCTGATCAACATTTTTCACATTTTAATCACTTATGTCAGCTTCTGGTAATTACAGACAATTAATCATGTGTGATTCACTGTCTCCCTCCGTCAGCATTGTGCTCTACGCTGTGTGAAGGAAAATGACAGAGGTGAAACTGCCTTTATTAAGTACGCAGCACCAGGGAGTGAGCTCCCCGGCGATAAGCGGCATGTTGCACTGCTTTTGGCTTACACCTTCTTGTGGCGGGTGATAAAGGCCAGGTGGAGATTAAATTACATTCATTTCTTTGCCAGGAGCCCTGACCACAGAATGACTTACAAGACGACGGAGGATGGAGTGATGAGCTGCAGTGAAAGTACTGCCAAAGTACTGAAAAATGAATTAACCATCAGTGTCACAAAGACCTCTGGTCCTACCTGCCATAGAAAGTCAGCAACCTCAAACCACACAAGGTTGCACTGACTGTAGTTACATTTTCTGTGCTTTAAAACGTAAACTGTATTTATTGTGTTAACTGTTTTAAATTATGAACAGGTGAGTTCATTCATCATTTCTCTTTTTCATCTGCCCCCACCCAAAATTATTAACAGGCCAAACTGACATGTTTTGAAAACAACAGAGTATACACACCCAGTCTGGCAAACATGGATATGCAAACATTGTGTTATCAACATGCACAGTATCAGTCAGTCCATTACTAGCAAGACTGTAACCTTGCTCCGATACTATAACGCTTTTTGTCCTCCCTTCTGGTGCTGCTTGTGACAGTCGGGGTGGAGCGTGCAGAGAGTTCGGTTCATAAGAAGCTGTGTGAGTGTACTCCAACATTTCCAGAAGATGTTCTCCAATGTTGCACTTGTTGGTGCTCACGAGCATATCATGGGTAAGTACATTCCTGCTTCCCCCTCCTCTTGAATTACACACCGGTTTCAGTAAAGAAGTTCGCTTGTGGATTAACTTTGCTGAACTTGTTGTTTTGTAGGATGCGTTGAACTGATCAACAGTCACGACACCACAGAAATATGTCAATGTACAGAGGGTGGAAGTGTCAAACTCCAGTGTATGTTTGTGACTATCCAAGAGACCAACGGCCTCACCATCCAGTGGGATTTTGTCCCATCATCCTCCTTGACGCAAGAGCAGGTAGATACACAGGTTTAATGTGCTCATGTACCTGGAATTTGTACATTAATTGTGGTTGAAGGATGTTTTACTGCAGCATTAGCTCTCATTTCTTCATTAATAAAAAGTGAGTATCAGAATATTTCCAATTAAATTTCTTGAGCACAAAAGCAGCCGTGACTCTCGACAGTCCAGGAGCTCAGAGTTTGTTTCATGATTGAACAAGGCTTTGAGTGATTTAAAAACATCAGTCCTTTTATGTTCACTTCAAATGTACATATACAGGACAACATCACTGCTCTTTTACTAAAATGAGACGTATTGTTTGTTTTAACTTAATTCCTGAAATGTAACAGTGCAGCTGCATTTACAGCGGGTGGAATCTCATCAGAGAAATTCGACATTTTGGAAAATATTCAAAGTTTAATTACTCCATGGAAAAGTCTGATTTATTACAAAGCTTCAACGTTTCCTAAAAACACACATGAACTGTTCTCACTAACAATCAGGAGACACGCCTCGCGGACACAACACAGAAATCAGATAAGGGCTGTTTTTAAATTAAATTAATAATATGACCATTGACTAACTTCTGACACAGTCAACTTACATTCTGAACTACATGGTTCAAATGGGACAAATCTCCATCCTGTTGATGCTAGTTTAACTAACTTGCCGTACTGATACATAACTAAGAGTAAATGCTATTAAAGAGTTATACTTGGTAATTTACAACCTATGAAGCAATAAAATCACTGGTGTCTGAATCTGTATCTGTACGTCACTGTGATTTTCTAATGTTGGAGGTTTTGTTTCTCCAAATGACAACAGTCAGACCTCCTAAACAAACCGGCCCGTGTGACAGTAAAAGAAACAGTGTAGAGAAATCATAACTCAACTTAAAGTTTGTGTCAGATATTCTGATTTGTTGCTGTTTGCTTTCAGGTGTATTACTTTCAGTCAGGAAAGGATGTGATTCGAAGCCTTACGAGGGCAGGATTCAGCCGCCCTCTTCTCCGGGCTCCACCAGAAACGCTTCAATAATCATAAGCAACATGCAGCCATCAGACGCCGGAGTCTACTCGTGTGAGGTTCACAACTTTCCTGATGTGGACGGACAGTCTCAGGTCAACATCATTGTGAATGTTCTTGGTAAGTGACGTGACCTCTCATGACCCTCTCTGTTGTTAGACACTGATGAAAAGTGAAGCGTGAAGACGGTATGAACTGATCTGTGCGCGGTCTTGAAGGGAGGTGAGATAAGGCGAACAAATCAAAAGCACTGTGAGCCTGCACACTGGGTGTGTTTCCTAGTCCCTGACCACACCTGTTAGTGATTCTATTGGTTGAATTATTTGCGTTATAAGAAAGCAAGAGAGGGTTTTTGTGTCAGCGAGCTGCTCTAAACTTCTGGGTGTTCCACCAACATGAGCTGCTGGTTGGAGATTAAACAAAGGGAAAAAACCAGATCTAACCTGCTGCTGCTGAGTTTTCTCCTGCTCGTACGGGCGTGGCCACCTGAAGAGGGAGCGCCGAAAAACTCTCTCTGTGAATGAAAATAACTTACAACTGAGTTTTATTTATGATCTCAAGTTGTATATTTCAAATTTCATCCTTAGTATTTGGCTCACTCATTTATCTTTATATATTCTGCATGAAAAAGAAGGGTCACATTAGTCAGGTCTGCGTGAGCTGCTCTTTGACTTCCACTTGAGTATTTGTTTAACATAAAATCACGGTCTGAATTACAGCAGGTAAAACTGAACTGAAGAAAGAATCCTTTCATTTCAATCATGTGTGAGTCGCTCTGTGTCTACTTTCAGCGCAGACACATTTACAAATTTATTAAAGTGTCCCTGAATAGTGTGATTCAGGAATTACATTCAGTTTGAATCCTCTCATTCACCGAGTTACCAGGACAACCTCGCAGGCCTCGGTATCCTCACTAGTTTCCATGGTTACTGTAGCAGGCTCCTCATTGTCAGTGTTGGAAATTAGACTAGGACTGTGACTGCATCCTTGTACTGCATACAGAATATATATCAGCAGCTGCTGCATGCTAACCACACATCTAAACTCTTTATGAAAATGTTTACAGGTGAGTTTCACTGAATGTGATGCAGACTGAGGAGCTGTATGAATATGTATGAATATGTATGAATATGATTATCCCCCAATCAAAGATGATTTCCATCCTCATAACAGTTACATAGGATTATGGTAATGTTTAAATAAGAGTGAGGAGGCCATCATAAATTATAATAATGATAATAATAAGTGTGTGAGCAGAGCAGCAATAGATATCAGATATGAAGTTATGTCATTAAAAGATGTTGTAGCTGAACTGTACGATCAGTACACTGAAAGCCTGATGATGAGGAGGCAGACACCATGAAACATATGGTAAGGATTCAGTCTCACCGCAGGAGCGGAGGCCGCACCCCCCACACTTCCTGCCTCATGATGACTAATGGAGAGACAGGTGACGTCCTGTTTGTTTAACAATAGGAAAAAGATTTTCCACTTCCACAAACTCAAATCTGCAAATATCCTTTGTTACAAGACACACACAGATATTTATTTTAGTTTGATATGACTTTTATAATCTCTTTGGAATAAACAAAGTGTCATGATATTCAGTACAAAGTATCTTATCTTTCATTATAGCAAACTGTGATTACTGTACATCCAGGTGTGGCATTGAGCCAACAGTGACAACAGCACAAAATGAAGGAGCTGTCCAAAAGAATCACTGTGATATAGACACTGAACAGAAGTAAACCATCACACTGGAATCAATACAATGCTACCTAACTATGTATAAAACTAGCTCCATCTCAACCAGCTGCAACAGTAAAATCCTGCTTACATATATAGTGTATATACACATCAGTGTGTAATAATATCAGTCATATTTTCTTTTCTTTTGATACTTTAAGCACATTTAATTAAATGATTATTTACCCCACCACTGTATTAAAGTATAATAATAGTAATAATAATAAATGTGTTATACATAATCTGTTCCAAAGGCTCATCACATACTGTCATGGATCAGGATATATATAGAAAACAGCTGAGGACTTGTATTTTATAACTGACTCATAATTTAAATTAAACTCTGATGACACAGATTCTATGACAAACCTCTCAGGAGAGCTGATCAATTCAAAATGTCATTGATTTCCACTGAGTGAACATATGAGTCACAATAACATCACGTAGATTCAGAAGACTAAACCCTCACATCTTCCCTCTGGTCTGTCAGAGAGGCCGTCCTATCCTTACTGCGCCGTCCACGGTGACATTGAATCGGGTCACCTGGTCACTCTGACCTGCCACAGTGAACATGGAAGCCCGAAACCTATGTACACCTGGACCCGACTGGACCAGACTAAGACCAGGAGGCCGGTACTGGGAAGAAGTGAGTGCTGTATATATATATAAGTGTGTTTGTGATGTACTAGTAAATATTATCACATTTGTCCATTTATAAACGTATGTGCTCTTTGTTTCCTCAGCAACCAAAACTGGAATACTGGAAATCAGAAACATTTCCCAGTTTGAGTTTGGGGAATACCAGTGCAATGCTACCAATGTGGTGGGCTTTTCAATTTGCAGTGTTGATCTGAGTCCTGGTATGATTTCATTTCTTTTTGTTTGTTTTAGAGAAAGTACAAAACTGCTTCATTCATGGATATAAAAACTTGTGTACTGGTGTATGGTTGTGCAGAGGTGGGAGACGGAGTGATTGCTGGAGCAGTGATCGGCGCTCTGCTCGGGTGTGTCCTCATCATCCTGGTGGTGTGGTTCATCGCTCACACCATGAAGAGGCACAAATACAGAGCGGTGAAAGCATCAGAGGGCAACGAGATGAGGTGAGACCTTCTCCGTGCCGAGCTCCATCATGTGATCTGTGTTTTCAGGGCGTAACACCAACTCTCTCTCCGTCCACTAGGAGGAGCTCTCCCCCGGCCCAGAGAGCAGCAGACAGCGTTCCTGTGGCAACCGCAGCCAGCAATGTCCATGCTGAGGCAGATGAGCCACAAGCCTAAAGACAAAAAGGCCTGTTGAAAACAACTGGAGCAACTGGTCTGAACAACAAGATGTTCAGTCTTTAATCGATATGATGAAGCTCATGTTCATGTGGGATGTTTTGCTTTTTGTCCTTTTGACCATAAATTCCATCTTTTACAGCTTTTTTTTTTATTATTATTTTTGTTTAATTTTCACTCAGACCTTTGCTGGATGCAGATCTTCTTCTGACACGGTGTAGACACACACAAAAAAAGCATTTTTACAACATGTGTCTTGTAATTTTACTTGTTTGTTTTACCATTTTCATAGTGACAATCAATACATGTCGATGACTCATTCTTAGGTTATGTTATAGCTGAACCTATATTTGAATTTACCTCATTCACTACACAAATACATTTTATAACACATAATACTGACGTGACGGGGGCTGAGTCTGCATCATGCAAACAATCACTGTCATAATAACTGCAGTTATAATACTGGAAACAAACTCGTTGCATGTTTTCATCTCTTACGCTAACTTTTTTAATTGGATCTGAATCCAGTAATAAAAATGTACATTCAAATATAATCTTCAAATGATAAAATATCTTAAATTAGAACCACAATATAAAACTTTTTGTGTTTGTTTTTACAGTTAATGAATATTACAAACTAATTCCTGAAGGGGAAGGTGAGCGAGCCTCCGCATCACTCTTTCATTGATCTTTGATGATACAAATTGTCAAGCAGCTGTGGATGAAGTGTGACTATTTTGTGCGTTAACAGGCACAGATCCTGATTAAATAGAACATTGTGTTTTCTGAGTCACTGTGATTGACAATATAAAATCAACTATCATCTAGGTGGCAGCAGACTGACACTGGAGCTCAGCCACAGTCAGGGCAGTGCCCCTGAGGTCTCTGTGAAGATTTGTCATATGGGTTTTGTTCTTGAGAATGACATTAAATTCAAATTAAGACTCAGTCATGTGGCTGAAAAAGAAAACCAGGGCTGCCCTGTAGAGTTCAGTAGAGTCATGACTGATCATGCCTTATGATTATTTTTATACATATAGCATCAGTGACACCTTGTCTTCAGGTTCGGATTCTCTCACCTGATCTCCTTGGTTCTACATGTTCAGATGGTCCCATGTCGATCATGAACCATCTGACGGTGAATTATCTGTATAAACTCCCACTGTGGAGGAGTGTCACAGGAGGAAACCTAGTGGAGATCTCTGAGGCTCTTTTCCCACAGATTCTCCCTCAAGGTGAAGATGAACTTTTCAATGAGACAGAGCTCCTTCTTGCGCACACGTATAATCCTCACATTATTTTACACATTTGAATTTTTAATTGATTTATAAATGATCGATCCATTTTACTCCTGGGAAAAAGTAAAACTCACTGGCTCATTGGTTTGATCATAAATTACATGAACAGCTGAAGATGAATTATGGACATTTTGTGCCAACCTTGTTTATTTCCCCCCTTAGTTAAAGCAAATATTTAACAGCCCCTTCTGTGGCACAATCAAACCCATAAATTTAATGCAGATCAGCCTGGCTACCTGCCCCCAATGTTAAGCTAGTATCCACAAATTTATGATTAATTGGCAATTGTGAAGGCAGCAGAAAGACCTTCAATATGTTTTCTGTAACTGCTGCTTGACGTCTTTATGGAGCCAAATGGTGAGTTTACTTACACCACTTTATACAGGTTCCACCTTAGCTGAGAGCAGCTGGTGCCAAACCAATTTATTCAGTCTGCTTTAAATATGCTGCTGCTGCTGCTGCTGCTGAGACTGGTTTGGCAGAATTTACGGACAGTTTCTCACAGCAAGGAATCAGTGTAGTCCACAATCTGAGAGCACTCTGAGAATGTTATTTAGGTAGGCTAATAATGAACATGACTGGGCTCAGGCTTCAGTGATGGTTTCATGAAGTAACTGTAATTCAGTAATAGTTAGTTATAAGTTTGTGTGAGTATGTAAACCAGGGCTTAAAGTTTCCTTCTGAAAAACTGATAATAATGCGAAATAAATAAATAAATAATGAAGAATAAATAAATATTGAAGACAAAAAAATACAGTAACCTCGAAGTGCTTAAAGAACTGATGAACTGGAGTTAAAAGTAACATCAGGAAGGGCCCTATCACTTATTTCTTCATTCCTTTTGGGTTGTAAACAAATAAACTGTGAAGGACATATCATGTTCAGCACTTCTTTTCCCGCCGGTGGCAGATAGCAGCTTCTTCGAGCTCACCGTCTCCTTCAAGCCGCTGGATCCTACATGACAGTGTTACCAAGACCCGCCCCGCTCTGCTTCTGATTGGCTAGTAATGTTTGTTAGGTTGAGAGCGAGAGCTGCGTTCCTCTCATACCATTGGTAGGTGAACTTTATTACCTGGAACATGATAAACCGCATCCACAATAAGCGTATTGACTTTTAGCTTTTCATTTTTCCTCTCACAGCGTTACGCCGGAGATCCGGCACGGTGCCGGAATATTTTAATCCCTGATGTAAAACAGATGAGACGTTTCCTGAACTGATTCAGTCTACATGTAAAAGTGGCTCCTTTACAGACAAACTCTTAACATGAAGTGAATCTTCAGTCTGATAATTAAAAGGTCGTATATAATTATATCTAATGACTATATCACATCAGCAGGCAGGTGTTTAACAGTGATTCTCAACATCATTGTCCAAATACTTAAAAAACTAATGACATTCTCATCAGTCTCAGCTGTGCTTTAGTGCTAATTAGCAATGTTAGCATGCTGACGCCCTCAACTAAATTGTTAGCTTGTTGATGTTAGCATTTAGCCCAAAGCTAAAGTACAGCCTTGCTGAGACACCAACATAAACTTTTATTTCTTTCTTAGTTATTTCTTATAATGTGACCACAGATATGAACTAATCCTGTGTTAATCACTCAACACTGTCCAGTAACATTAACTGTAACTGAATGTAATGACACTGTTTAAAGGTAATTTTATTAGCTCTTTATGTATTTTGTACATTTATCCTTTTACATTTCATTGTTTCAAGTGTAATTCAGGAGACATTCACATTCTCTAATTGTAGGTAAAACTCTAAAATGATACAAAACCTACAAACATTAGTTTACTATCAATATTCTGAAGGAATTAGACTTTTGTTGTTGAGATTGAAAAAGACGTTCAATCAGTAAATTTAAGTAAACCTACATTATAAGAAAACTAATAAGGCACAGAAGTGAAGCAGGCTCCGTGTGCAGGTTCAGGCCTGCAGACCGACACAGCGTGCGGCGCTGAGGATGTCGTCTCTGGTCAGATAACATCCACACAGTTGCCTCAAGCCGGTGAACGAATCCCTCCCGTGCATGACGCGCCAGTTGTCTATGAAAATCACCTTATTGAGAAAAGAGAGGGTATAATCCTTAGATTACACTGAGTTCCACTTACAGCTCTATCTTTACTTTCCATAATCCTAAATCTGTAAATGTATTGTCTGTGTCTGACAGAATTGTTTTCTGGATGATGCGTTCTGAATCACTTAGCGACACTCCCTTTAATAAGTGTAACGTTCTTACTTTCCCTGGAGTCAGTTTCACCCAGAGCTCGTTCTCCGGTCGCCTCAGTTCTGTTGTCAGCTCTCGATGGGCCACATACCATCGCTGAACAGCATCATGGGGGATTGTGTTTATCACTGATCGGTCGTAGTTGTTGTATCTGTTTAAAAAAAAGATAAAAAGAAAATCTTTTTTTTTTTGATTTGAAGTTAAAAACATCAAAATTACTGAATATTCCTTTAAAAAAAACTTTAAATTGCAAGAAAGTAATTTTCTAACAACTGAGTAACTATAAAGTTTCTCAACCAACTTTTAATATGGACATTTTTTATATTTTAATCAGGAAAGTAATAAATAAGTAAATGTTGTAATGACGTATGAAGCTCAAAGGTAAAATTGTTCCACACCATATATTATCTACGGCCAAGACCACTAGAGGTAAGGAAAGGTAAAAATATAATATGTGACGGTGAAACACATTTGCTACCAATGTATACAAAACAGTGGATAAGAGAAATGATGGACTTAATGAAAATAAAGCCAAATGAAAAAGCATGTTTTATGTTTAACAGTGAAGCTAATTAGATCATATTTTAAGACGAACACTGAACATGTAAATCTACATCTGATAAGTGACTGCTGCACAAACATGGGTATAATGACGTCACTTTGAAGGACAGACGTACCGGATCAGGTAAACTTCGTTGTTCCAGGGATAGACGTTCAGCACCGGCCCGATGCCGTTCATGTGGTTCCGATGGTTGTCAGTTTTTTCTATGTACTCGTGCCTGATGGGCACACGGGTGAGCAGCTCAAAGTTTTCAGGAGACTGCTGACGTAATTTTTCTGCAGCGTAGAACCCATCCACGAGCAGCGTCCTTCCTCCAGTTCCCTCGTGCTTCAGACAGTGGAAAACCTGTATCCTGCAAGAACAAGCAGACACATCAAGTAAAAATAAATGTTTTTTAAAGCTACTGAAAAGTTTGACAGAAAAACTTTTTTTCAAATGTTATTTCACTGCTTCACAAACAAAATTCCTTCCACCTCCTCCGACCTAGAGGCTGTTTCAGTCCGTCCCTCCTGCACTTACCCACACGGCTCCTGAAAGTAGGAGGTGTCAGTGTGACGATCCAGAGCCAGCTGACTGTAGGCTGTGTCTCCTCTGGAGAAGTCTGAAGTGAAGCACCACATTCTTCCATATGTGGTCTCCCTTGTGTAACACACAAAACACAAGTGGATTAAGAACAAGTGGATGTATAAGTGCGTTTTGAATGTAGCAGAGACAAAAGCAGCACTTCACACCTGATAAGACTGACTCTCTGGGTGACTGCCTCTGTGGCCTCCACTGTAGCAGGGACACCATCCACAAAAGCGATTCCATACAGAAGATAGTTCTGAAGAAACTTCTTCAGTTCGTCATCGCAGCTCATGAACGTGTCCCATTGGGCCGATGGTACGTTCGCCTTTTGATAGATGTCTGAGTTCCACAGGATGCGAGGCTGGATGGTGCTCTGCTGCTTTCCCTCGTAGCTGTTCTCAGCCAACCAGCTGAGGCTGTACTTTGACACATGACCACCAGGCCCTGGGATACACACATGGAAAAGACTTATTAGGTACGGTTAATGGAACCTGATTTTGACCAATCTTCAGTAGTTTTATTTATAAAATGTTAAATCATACATGGAGGCATCACAGTGTGAGTCAAAATGTCAAAATGCTAATTTTATTTTTGTTCAATATTATCAAACCACATCTAAAATATTGATTATTGACAGCGTCATCAAGCAAGGCTGGATTAATAACTGCTTTGGAGCCCCCGACCACCAGGGGCACAAGGACTCCAGGCTTCGCTGTTTGCCAAATATTTCTTTACTAATTTTATTAACTGCAGATTTGTTGAAATAACCTGAATGATAGGACATTTGAGGAGTGTGTGCATCTTGGTTCCGGGCCCCGAGCAACCCTGTTAAGCACTAGGATTCCCCACAGCCACTTCACTCTGTCATCCAGCTGCTGAATTACAAGTGAAATGACGGCGTTTAGCTGAACTGAGACCAGGGGCCAGTTGCACAAAACAACTTAAAATTTTCCTTAAAGTCTGAGTTAAGGTTTCCTTAAAATGTTCACTGAAGTATTTAAGGTTTTCTCCTTGTCTTAGTCGTATACTTAAGGAATCACTTAAAGTCGGTTGAATTATTGCACAAAAGACCTTAGCAGCCAAAGTAAGGAAAAAAACTAAAGGTACCTCTGACTCCATCTTACCTGCAACATAAATGAAGAAAATGAACACGTCTCAAGAAGAGTGGGAGAAACTAATGGACACCATTAACAATGAGGAAGTGATTCTACATCACAGGTTTGACAGCTGTCAGTTTATAATCTGTCTGACAGTCTACGGGAGCATCACTCTACTTTCCACAGCTTAACGAGCTCTACAGTTCATGTCACAGGATCTTTCTGGTCAGTTATAGTTATAGTCTGGTCAGTTATAGTTATAGTTATAGTTATAGTCTGGTCAGTTATAGTTATAGTTATAGTCTGGTCAGCTGTGTGTTGACAGAGTTCAAATGCTCTTATCTTCTGAACACTGTGAAGTTCCCATCAAGAGATAACAGTGAGCTACATATTACCTGCTACCTACAAGTGATAACAGGCATCACAAGCTAATGCCAGCAAAACAGTCTCCATGGAAACAGTAGAATTTTACTGCTGTAAAATCTCTTTCACTGCTGTAAATGATTTAACTTTTTTCCTTAGCTAAGGAAGAGACTCTGTGCAACACCCTTAAGTAACTCCCTCAGCTAAGGAGAAATTAAACCTTAAATGTCAGACTTAAGTACAAAACTTAAGGTGTTTTGTGCAGCTGGCCCCAGTTTTGTAATGTTTTAACTCAATTATGTAACGTTGCCACTTTGTGCATGAACAGAAACCCAAATGGTGCATCATGTTATAAAGGACTGCAGAACAACTCATTAACTCTTTCCATGCACATGGGGCAGTGATCTGAGTGTCCACGGTGCCCCTGGCAGCTTCCAGACTGAGCGTTTACTAAACCAAGAGTAAGAGGGCCAGTGCTCATGAACAGGACATCCACACAGACTCAGCTGACCTTGAATACTTGCTGCTAACAGGGAGAAGCAGAACTGACAGCAGGCCTGCAGGAGCTTGTGCATCATCAGCTGTCTTGGGGCTGACGGGTCCATTTGTCAGTTTGCGTAAGCCACACTGCCACTCTTGTGTCTTGCGTGTACATAAAAACACTGTGACAATCCATCTTTTGTGCTTGAGCACAGAGGGAGGCATCAGTCAGTCTGTAGGAGCCCTGAGTGGCACGGACTCTGAATGGACTGATGTGGTATTAAAAGCTGGTGGTGATGTTACTCTCCTCTCCATGTTCTGCTCTTCATTTTAAAAAAGCTCCAGCCTATAATTATCTTCCTGCTCATGCCAGGGCTGACCAACGGCGGGTTGAGGGGTCACAGAGGTTAAAACTGTGTTGTAACAGAGCAGGGGAAGTGTTTGGGTGGGTGCACATGAAGCCAGTGTCTTTCTCACAAGTGCAGCACCTGCTTCCTTTTCCACACCTGGCTGCTCCGGGAGCATTTATTCCTCTTACTCAAAAACAGGCGACTAAATCCCACAAGGCTTTTTTTTTCCTGCTCATGGAGACAGACTCAGAGATGGCTCCAGCTCTTCAGGGCTTTGTGCTGGTTAAGCTAGTTCAGCTCTGAGTGCTGGGGCCTCTCAGGGGAACGTCTCGGTGGCTCGGAGGTCTGCTCCACCTGGGGGATTAAGAGGAGGGAGAGGTGCTGCATTCTGTGCAGCACATGGGATCATGTGAGAGGAGAACCTGCCAGCTTTAGCACGAGAAAGAATTTGAGTTTTCCTTGTGTCCAGCTACTGAAAGCTTTGATGCATCACAGTAATACAGTATATAACAAAAGTAACATCCCTGGTCTATATCACTAAAATGTGAAGTAGCTGCAAATCCTGCCCATTTAATACAATTTGATTTGTTTTAAAAAGCCCCAAAAATGAAGCTTTGACTAATTAAACTATAATTAAAGGGTCCATATTAAAAAAAAACAGTTGTAACAAAAGTAGTATAAATAATAAGAACTCGATCCTCCTGGATATGGACGATACCAGTCCTGCACAAATCTGTGGAGAAATGTTCTGAACAGGCCCGTTCAACTCTAGGCCCACAGGCCAACTCTGGCCCGTCAATCAAGTCTGACCGGCCCGCCGATCAATTGTTTAATTACAAATAAATAAAGTTAAAAAGAAAGAAAGAAAAGAAATCATGTGAAATACTGATATTTTTGCCACAATAAATCCTCTAAACCACAGAGAGGCTCTAATGATGCAGCAGCTGTCTGGGTGAACAGTCACAGTGTCTGTCATCAAAATGTTCCAAACTTTCAACCACAATTTGTGTTTATGTGGCATCAGATAAATCAGACAAGTTCAGTTCATCTTGAACTTCTTCATTCTCTTTGAAAAAAAAAGCTGTGATGTCAGAGATGTCAGAATAAAACCGCATGATAAGCCAGTCAGCTGACATGACGTGTTGTAGAAAACCATGAGTTTACGTTTGTTAATATCGCAGCTAACCCTAACCCTTCTTTTACAATGTGGCACAATAAAAGTTTTGAGAATGTGAGGACATGTTGTGTCAAGTGAACAGACATAATGAGAACAGCTCAGGGTAATGTGCGGCCCCCGGGCCCTAACCTCTCAGGAAACGTGGCCCCCTGAACATCATCCTGGACTCAGGTCAGGGGACACAGATCATAGTTTTTTTCCTTCTTTAAAATCTCTTGTGTGATTTGTGCAGTGTGTTTGTATCATTGTCATGATGGAAAATTCTTTTCATTTAATATCTGCAAAAACAAAACTGCATTCATAGTCCCATCTGTAAATGTCATCTGCCCTTCACCCTCTGCACTCATGCCGCCCCCCCATCAGCACACCTCCATGTTCACAGGTCAGCTTTCTACAGCACCAAACACACTGGACCCCATCTGATCCAAACATTCATTTCAGTTTCATCTGACGACAGAATGTGCTGCCGACATTCATCAGGCTTCTCTTCATGTTCTTTCACAAAGTCTTTCTGTTTGGTGAGCAGTGGTTTCATTCTTGAACAACATCCATAAAGGTCGACAGGAGTCTCTATAGATGATCCTTGTGCCAGGTCACATGCACTTACTGTCTGTTTTTCAATGCAGATGTAAGGAGTGAATTGTGCATGTCATAATTTTCAAGGATGGCCACTGTGCCCTCAGTTATTGGTTAGTGGAGGAATGGCTCCTCCTAAACCGCCTAACCACTGCTGCAGCTGTGTTTTCATGTTCTTCAGCTGCTGGTGCACTTGTTCCCTCTCTCATGTTTCTAAAGTCTCACATTCTTCTTACCTGCTCAGACAGTTCTTCACCATGTGGAGCCATGACTCATGTTGAATTAAACACAACATGTTCATGCAGTTAGTGTTAACTGGAAATCAAAGGTGCACTCACTTTGGTTGTATTAGGGTTGCACTTTGGACCCTGTATTTTCAGTGGAGGCTAACTAATTAATTATACAAAAAATGAAATACTCTACACGTCAACTTGCAAATAACACTGTTATTATAAGAATATAAAATGTGGAATCATGTTCTCAGTTTTATTACATATTGTATTTTTCAGTCTCATCTTTTTATGTGTCCATCGGTGGCTAACGGTTTTCTTTGAATGTCTCTTGAAGATATTGTAATTCACTGATTGCTGATTAAGGTTGATATAAAGTAGGTTACACAAAGCTGCTGCTTTTACATGTGAAAATCTTTTTATGGTTTACAACTGAAACAGTCCAGAGTCTTATTTCATTTCTTGCCAACACCCTGAGGATTATCTCACAACAGAGTGAATCTTTAAACAATAAAATCGGATCATGGCAGAGGGAAAAGTCCACCTCACCTGTGTCTGTGTGGAGAGCTTCACCTGTCCTGTGTAATGATTATATGCTAAAGTGTTGGAGTCATTCACAGCTACACTGTCTGTTCTGTGCTGAGATGGAAGTGAATGTTAAAAATCAGATTAATTACATGTTGGTTTGTTATACAGACAGACAGATGAGATATCTCCTAGACACGATTCCTAGATGCAAATGATTGGTTGACTTACACTAAATTATTGACTCTTAACCTCAGGTTACATGGTGTAAATGCTGCTCAGTGGATATGCATTATTTCTGTGTATGACTGATGCAATAATAAGAAATGTCACATTTCATAATGAATTTGTTGTAACACAGTTTGTGTATTTGAACAGCTGACTGAGCTGAGAATATCTATTCAAATACATCACATCTGACTGTATGTAAATATCATATATATCCACAAATGAGCTTCTGACCTTTGATTGTAACATCTGAAAATACTTCTTTCCTCAGAAACTGCATTTCAGCCTGAGACTTTAACCTCCTCTGACGTCCCTGTGTGTTAACTCCTGTCAGAGGTAAGATGCAGTTTATCATAAATGCTGTAGTAACATAAAATAAATAGACAAATACAGATATTAATAAAGGGTTGTAATAAATGATTTGTTAAATGTAAAAATGTGTCGCTAAATACACACAATTTATTTGAGAATATGCACCACATGAGAACAAGATAAGCTGTAATAATAATAATTGTTTGCATTATCAATTAATTATTTTAATCTCTGACTTAACCCCGTTGTAACCCAGCCTTTTCTAAATACTTTATAACTGTGTCGTAACAGTGCGATTGTTTCTTTATGGTCTAATGCAGTAATGGTGCAGACAGGTGCAGGGCTTAATGCTTCGCAGACCACCTGAGCAGCTCTTCTTTGGACTTGTTGGTGACTTACATGTGAGGACGAGGTGACCATCTTCCACTGTGCTGCTGTCAGGGCGGATGGAGAGGTCTATACTCCCGGTGTCCAGGTTCCTCTGGTTAGTTTTGGAGTTGTATGAGGCGGCGGAGCGGCAGTGGTCCCGCAGCCACACGTAGTTCAAATGAATCGACGTCCCCCGGTAGTTGAGCACTACAGTAATTTCACGTGGAGGGTTGTTTGTTTAATTGACACAGAGTTTGCCTCAGAAGCTCTTATAAACTGGGTGAAAAGACTGTCAGTGAACTCACCCAGACAGTCGTCCTGAAGGCGCAGGGTTGCAGGGGTCCCCGCACAGGCGCGGGCCTGCGTGTGGTGTCTCCACGGTGTCTGTGTGTCCCTGAGACCAGACAGCAGCTGGACATGTCTGTGTCTCCGCAGACTCCTCTTTAAAGCGCCAAACATCGCGAGTACAAACAGTTTTTGGTCAAAATGAACCCCGATTCACCGAGCAGCCGCAGAGTCGAGCCCCCCCCCCGGAGGAAAAGTAGTGCGTCCTTTCCTCGAGGCTTCACTGTCACACGAGCCTGAAACTCATCAAATGTTTGAGCATAAAGATCCGAGATTAATAATTAAACTCTTCATAGTTTCTGCTGTGATTTGGTTTATTGCTGCACAGAGCCAGACGCTGCGAGTCATCACACTGGTGTAGTGGTTTGACCACGTCATATTTACCTTTACGTCAGTACCCGGATGTTTACAACAAACCTATGGATGGTCATGTCTATGACGTCACTAAATACTATGGACAGACAGCAGAGAAACCGAGACGCTTCATTTCTGTTTATTTCCTGTATCTGGTTGACGTAAGTTTCTTTACCTCCCCGGCCTTTTAGGAAACCGGTAGCAGGTCTGAGAGTATTCATTCCGATGGGCGAAGTGAACGAGATCACAGGTTATCACAGATTCTTTCGCTCCATATGTCCCCGAAATAAACATTGGACCTAGTTTTTACGAGCCAAACGTCTTCAGAACATTCTGACATCAAAATGACATTTTTCAGATCAACAGATAAAGAGAAAATTAACTTTATTGGAGACCTGCCTCTGTCTGTGTCATACTCTCACGAGATCTGTCAATTGCCAACATCGTTTGCCAACCGATAAACAGATGTTTAGATGGACAAGTTATTTTTGGATTGACTTACTTATACGTTAAACCATGAATTTAACTTAATAAAACCTGCCCGAAACCCTGCTGTGTGGAGGGTTTCTCTCACTCTGTCACATCTTGTCACACTTTTTACTTTCACCTCAGTTCCTTGGTCTCAGAACATCACAGTCATTTTCTATATTAAACAATAAATTCTTGTGGACAAATGAAAAATCTTTAGACAAGTTATCCCATCACAGGTTATGTTGTCACATTATATTTTTTATATGAAGAAACACCTCAACCTCAAACTCTTCACCTGAACTCTTCCCTTTGTCCTTCCTTCGTTTTCTTCCTTCTGTTTGAAAATTCCTACAATACATATTTAATGATTAAACTTTTTTTTCTATTTAAAGGCTCATCATGCATCCTCCTGTATATTTTGACCACTTTATCATTTAGAACTATTAAGAATCCAGCAGAAATGAAAAATGCCTTTTTAGCCATATAGTGCTCCTCTTTAACAATATATACAAAAAGAAAAATCTATTTCTTTGCTCTTATATCAAAATTCAATCTCTTCTTGTTAAAGAAAATATCATGGGTGCGGACGTCAGCACGCCTCCAGCAGTTTTAACCAGTAATATCAGGTGAAGAAGGTTGTGCCTGTGGCAGCAGGAACAGAGATGTGATGCAGTGATGCAGATCACATGTGAAGAGCAAACTGACTTCAGAGCGCTCAGAGGCCACTGTTGGTTTCTTAAGATAGCGAAGAGAAATGATCGGTGTGCTAAGATGCCCCTGGGACGTTAAAGTTGTGCTTTAGCACAGGTAGATTATAAAAGAAACAACGCAGTAGAGGTTAAACCAGTTCACCTGTAAGCTGCAGAGCAGGTGTTGCACAGGTGCAGCAGGTGACCACGGGGTTTCCCTCAGGGACCTGTTTGAGAGACACACAGATCTTGACAGGTGTCATCTCATGATGAGTATTAGTGGAGACAAACTAAACAACAGGAGTTTTTTCTCCTCTCTCACTCTCAGAGGAGGTGGTAGATGGAGAGGGGGAGGGGGGATCTATCAAATACCACACATCTATCTCTGTGCAGAACTAATGCAATTAGTAAAGTTAGTCACATGAGTAAAACACCACACCACCACCTGTGTGTCTTTTTCATCTATCTATCTTGTCTGTGTGGGTCATTAACTTCCGCATAAAGTTGGAAAAGACTTGGAGTCTCATGGTCTTGTGTTGTTTTATTCCATGTGAGAATTGATTGAAAACAGAGCATGGATGTAAATAAACAAAATACTACTATCAATATTCTGACTCATTTCAATCAAGAGAACATGAATAAAATTCAAGAAAAATAATTGTCTGTGCACAGTTTCATACATGTGAATGTTTTGGTGCGTATGCATCTTTCCAGCGTACGCCATGTTTCAGTGTGAATTCTATGCAAGGCTTTGGTACATGAGGCCCCAGGTGTCCTCCTCTGTCAGCTGACGCACACCTGCTGCAGGTGAGTCAGAGTTACAGTCTGAGAGTTGCTCAGCACTGAAGCTGGTCCAGAGAAGAAGGACGCCGACCTTCAACCGGGAGGCGTGGGATTGAACCTGAGGCACATCACGCAGGTGTGTGTGTGTGTGCGTGTATATAACAAAATAATAAAACAACAAAAACTGAGCTAAAAATCAAACTTCACGAAACTCGTCCATTCGCTTCGATTTCTCCATGTGAATTTCCAAATTTCCACAATTTCCAACGAGGGTACTGTAGCTAAACTAAGCTAAGCTAACTAACATGACGGGCATTTTGGCTGTATTTATCATTTATTTAGTTTTTAAAAGTTATGATTTTTGCTACAAGAATATTTTCACTAATATTTTAGCAGATCAGAACAGGAATATTATCAGAATATTTAAGAACTTTAACAGAGATATTTTCAGACACACTGCAAAACTCCGCACACAGATGTAGTAACGTAAACACCTCGGACACGGATGTCGACTCATTTTCAGCTCCCGAGCAGAGGCACAACGTGCTGCAAGAGCATGATTACGTGTAACATACTGTGATACACAGGGTACATGTGGGGGAAAAAACAAAATATATAGTTGTGTTGTTGTTCTGCTGTTGCAGTAATAACCCAGTAATATCCAGTTTATGTTTTTTTATTATATCTTTCAAAATGGTTTATGAAAAACACAGAATTCAAACTCAACAGTTGAATAGCATGTTTAAATTACAAAAGGTTCCTAAGAAATATAAATATATAATTAATAAACATTTTCTTATATACTGTCGCCCATAAAGTTGTAATAATTTTGTTTTCAGACACAATCCTCTGTTTATTCCTATTTAAATGCATCAGTAATCACTTTTGACCCGGTGCAATGATTACATTATGTGTTCCAATTACCCAGGTGAAATGAAATAAATCACATTGTCACAATCATTTAATGGAAAAAGGAAAAGAATATTTTATTCCAACTTTATGATTAACAGTGTATATCAAATCACATATTTACAGTATTGACAACATTAAATATTAAACAAATACATCTGTCCCAATAACTATTAACTAGCCAACCAATTGCTGAATGAATCATAAATGAATGAACTGGTTGGGACAGGAGGAACTGAAACAGTTGGGGCAGGAAGAGCAGGAGTGCTTGGCGCGAAGGACTCAGCAGCACTGGTGGAGGGTGTTGATTCCTCCAGTAAAAGTGAGGCCATCAGCACTGGGGGAGTAATGGATGCCTTCTGACCTAAGGCCTCATCCATCAAATAAAACCAGACCCAGGAGGCTGCGATTACGTCACCACAGTCACCTCCTGACCCAGCTGGTGGATACTTAAGCTCCTGCAAAACATCAGACATAGCAAAATTAAGTTACTTACTCCCATCCACTCTTGACCACATTCTGCCTCCCTGTGAACAAATGTTCATGTCGGCTGCGGCGCTGAATAAGTTCAGTGGTCTGAGACTTGATGCTGGTGCAGTGGGCCCTGCTCTCCTCCTGGTGCAGGACAACGCCCAGCCTCATGTGGCCAGAGTGTGTAGGCAGTTCCTGGATGTCGGAGGCATTGATGCCATTGACTGGCCCTCACGGTCACCTGACCTAAATCCAATTGTGCACCTATGGGACCTTATGTACCAGTGCTTCTGACACCGCCAAGTACCGCCACAGACTGTCCAGGAGCTCCCCCAGGACACCAGACGCTGTCGGGAGTGCATACAGGCACACGGGGCCATACACACTACTGAGTCACATTATGAGATGCCATGAAGAAATTCATGCAGGTTGGATCACCCTGTGATTTCAATTCTTTACTAAATGGGTTGATGATTTTGGTTTCCATCGACCGTTGTTACATAATTTTGGGCACCATACAAGCTAGAACCGCCACTGAATGAGAGAGTAAATCAGATCAAACTGTGACAATGTGTGTGCTGCAGCATAAAATACTTTCCTACTGTGGCAGCTAAATGACATGTACATTCATCACTCAAGTCAAGTCAGGTGTATTTTCCAGAGGAGTGGCTGTAGAGGGAAAGACGGCTTCTTGGATCTGGTGGCTGTTTGCATGAGCAGCAGAGCAGAAGCTCAGATTCAAACATGCACACTGGCTCCCTCTGGAGTCTCCTCTGGAAACCGGCAGCTTATCTAGACGCTAACGCTCATGACCTAGCTGAATACCTTTTCCCCTCTCCCCAGATTACCAGTCTATTTTGGTGTCAGTGTTTCATAATGCAGATCAGTAGGACTCAGCTGTTTGTTCAGTGTAAGCTACTGAATGCTGGAGTCTCCAACACAGTTCATGACGTTCAGTAAAAGAAAGCACATCATATATAAAACATGATAGAGCATCCAAACAGTATAAATGTGTCTAACAACAAGGAAGGATCATTCTTCAGTGATTGTTCTCACCTCTCTGAGGAAACTCTGATTTATTGTGAAGTTGTCATCCATATAAAAATTAGGTTATACAGACACTGAGTGATTTATACAGTAAAGATGTCAAACATAGATCATCATGATGACGAGGGTTATTCTGGCTCTGAACAATCTCTCTCTCTCGCTCCCTCACATTATTTCAGGGGCCAAAAGTGCAGCTTGGGAGGAACATGAATATTTAATCTGGAGTTTACATTTAGGAAAACATTCATTTTGAAAACATTTACACACGTAGCAATGTATTCAATTTAAAATAAAAGGTTGTTTTTTTTAATGCATAACCTGCACAGTCATGTATGTGTTAAGTTATTGTTATAGGGACTCTCTTGTTGGCATCAGTTTCACTCCACCATT